GAGAGAAAGAGAGAGAAAGAGAGAGAAAGAGAGAGAAAGAGAGAGAAAGAGAGAGAAAGAGAGAGAAAGAGAAAGAGGGAGAAAGAGAGAGAAAGAGGGAGAGAGACAAAGAGGGAGAGAAAGAGGGAGAGAAAGAGGGAGAGAAAGAGGGAGAGAAAGAGGGAGAGAAAGAGGGAGAGAAAGAGGGAGAGAGAGTGCACGTATATTCAGGAAAACTTTTTCTCAACAATCTTCCTGTATTAAAAAGAAACCAATTATACTTGCAAGTCACTTGCAGAAAATTTTAATAATTTGCCAAATATACAGCTATTAGAATGACCCCAAATATCACTTCTTAAGTTACAAAAGTTGGTAGATAGCATAGTACAATGTTCTATAAAATAAACACAGGTAATATTAACAATACCTCCTGTGGTCCAAGAATGGCAGAAAACAGCAAATGAAATTACAAACATATACAGATTAGAGAAGATTGAGGGTGGCTTTAGACAACTGAATCAAAGAAACTGAGACCAGACTAGACTAGATACATTCATCCATCAAGCATGTAGAATTTTAAGAGTTTAAAAACAATTAACAACACAGCATCGGGTGCAGTTTCACATGCTTTCATCTACTTTCCAGTACAGTTCCCAGAGGATTAAAGTGCCTTTGTGCACTCTAGTTTCATTTATAATCAGATGCGACACACATTGTATTTGGAAGTTACTTCACAGGTCACTTTTTAAAAAAAAATAAAGTTACTATTTGAACCAATGTCCACAATTCAAACTAAGGCGGTTTTGAAATACCTTTGTTCTGACCATCTGCTACTAAATGTCACGAAACAAACTCCAAATCCACAGGGCCCACGTCCACTAAATGAGACCAGAGTAAGAGATACTTACTCAAACATGTTTTCTGCTGTACAACCTTTAGCTTTGTTAATTTTCCCCTTTCAAACACATTTGCCCTCTGGATGATAATCTTCTTCTGCAGCATCTATTGCACATTGCTGTGAACGTGAAGGATAGGCAGGATTTGGCCTGTGGCTATGGAGACAAATGCACTTCCCAGATCACATCCCACTGTAACCCAAGCAATATGCACAGCATATTCTCCCTGCAAGACACCTGCTCAGTCCTCCTTAGGAACTCTCCCCATTCCCCACTCCAAAGCTCGACACTACCTGCAGGAAGGGAAGGAGAACTCCATGCAGCTCGACTGTCACTCACCTGGCCCTCAAAACGTCCTCTTCAAACCCCAGGTAAAGATGTTTCGAAGCATCCCCACCAGCATCCACTCCCACCTCCCACTGTCACCTCCCACCAGCATCCACTCCTCCTCTTTCAGAGGAGCGTGCATTCACGCAGTACCTGAGGCATTTTAACGGTGTTTTGAAATATCGGCACTTTAAGAGCAGTTATGGGGCATAAGCTTTTCAGGAAACAAGAATTTCCATTAAAATATTCCACCGTGATGCTATAGAAGGTAGAAGGGCAAGGGCAAAGAAGGCACTCAGGAGGAAAGCTCGCTTGAGGAAAAAAAAAACCCAGAAGAAATGAGGAGGATGAACAGGTATTCATAACTTTCAACAGCAGATGTGGATGCTTCCTACATTTGACAGTTCTTCACATCATGAAGTGAGCGAGTAATTCCAATGATTTTAGGTTCAGGCTGTCAACACCCCTGCACACCTGACATGGCCAGCGTAGGTGATGCCTTCCCTCCACCGCTGCTGCTGTTACACCTGAAAAGGCCCATTTTAAACTCTGCATAACCAGGAGCTCTATGCAGGTGAGGAAGTTTTACAGGGTCTCTAGGTGTGTAACATATTAACATTACTTAAAATATCATGTGCACTGAAATATTTCAAGAACGTATGCACTCTGTTAATCAAATTACTGGAAATTAGCCATTTCCTAATCTACTGAGTACTTTAAAAGTTCTCCATAAAATTGTGAGGTTATGGAAAAGAACACTGGCTATGCACTACAGTAGAAAAAAAAACCAGTACAAGTTTCATGAGAATCACAACTACAAGCAAAGTCTCCAGTTCAGTTCATAAAACAAATTGATTAAAATATTTTAAATGTTTCATAGCGATATAATAAATTCCAACGTAATTTATGCAGCAAATTTCACCCATATCCAAAAATACCATATATGTAAATACTTTTTTATAAAACTTTATACAAATCAAGCTCTCCTTAAGTAAGCCTATACACACTTCTCATGTCACCTAGGGTAGAAAGGCTTCAAAAGCATATATTCTCAGAGTCCAAGAGTGACAACGCTGCATGAGTCTTCCCTTTTGACAGTCAGCTTTGCTAAACCCAAGTCTTATTGCTTAAAATCAAATGACAGGTTTCCTCAGCATCCCCAGCACCCAGCTACACCACAGCAGTCTAGGGCAGGGACCAACCCTCCATTTTATGGGACAGAAATACCTACAAGCCTTGTTACCATTCCCATGAAGATTTCCACACAACGGTTGCCTGTCCTGTACACTTCAGCCAGAGAACAAAAGGGGCATTGCTGTCAGGAAGGGAGATTGATGGCAGTGTACCAGCTCAGTGACCAGTGTCTCCCTCTTCATCTTCTGATTAATTCCATACTCTGTTGAATGATTTCTGTGAATACATCTCCAACTGTAACTGAAAACAATCGGATCAGATACAAGACACCAGAGACACCAAGTCTAAAATGTGCAACAACAATGCCAACATAAGGGCTTTGCAGGCTTAAGACTCACAGCTGGTACTATGCTCCAACACCCCTACAGTAAGCTTTATTTACAGAACTTCCAACAAAAAATACTATTGTCTCTCAAGCTACATTTTAAATTAACAGAAATACATTCATAATAACTACCGGTACAAACACCATGATAAAATTATTTTTTTATTCAAAATATTCTGACAGGCTGACAATATTCCAGGTGCATTACAAACACTGCCATAGCCAACAAAACAATCGATACTTAAAGAGCATTCAAACACTGAGGAAATATATCTTAAAGCAGAGACAGGACAGTGAGTGATACCAAGAGCATACAGATAATTTTCTAATAACTGACTTCTTTGAGGCATATGTCTGATTTCTCTGGCACAAAATGGATTAAAATCCAGAAGAGATGAATTACTGAGGACAAAAAATTATGATGTTGCCCATATTTTCTATAAAACCTTGTAAATTTATTATACAAGGCCACTTAAGCCTGGAGTACTCTAGTGTTATGGAATAGAACAGTGAAATAATAACAGAGAAATCAACGTCAAAGCAAACAAACCCACAAACTCTTTCTAGAATATGGCTTAAATTAATTCACAGAGATTTGGAAATATACTAACTATACGGTGCAAGAGAAATACCAGGTAGAAAAAAAAAGTCCCTTTCTTTCTTGTACTTTCCCCTCAGCCTTCAAAGTAGTTCACATGGAATTGTCAACAAAATGATACTGCCCCTCCTCTGCAAGCCCCTCTTCCCACACTTCAAAAACATTGTTACTAACAGTTGGTTTCATTCTTGAATGCTTTGGCCAATAGGAGCTCTGAAGTTAAAACAATGTAGTTCTACACACAGTAATACCCTGTTTCTTCAATCAACCCAAGTTCTCAGATAAAATTTCAGCTTCATTTAAAACAGCATATTTGCTTGAAAAACCACGTGTTTCTTTCTCATATAGATAACAGGTGTGAAATGAAGAACTTGCCAAGACATGTACACAACTGAGTGCACGCTGCAGAACGTTGTACAGAGAGAGCAGCAAGGTCACAGGGGCACGGTAAGCCCACATGGAAAAGACAAACGCTTCCAAGGACCATTCTAAAATGTTCTCGTCCTGGGGCTTTGCTTTAAGCATTAAAATCTTGCTCTCAGGGTGGGCAAGACTTGGCCGTTTCCACTTTTCAAACAGCTCGCTGTATACACATGGCAGCACAGCATACGGGAGAGACACACCAAAAATGCTTTGGATACATCATCCTGACCTCAAGTATTCCATAAAATAGCTTGATTTTTTTTCCCATGAAGAAGAAAGAAACGGGACAACTTTCAAACTGCGCAGCTTGCCTGCGTGTCATTGGAAGAAACCAGCGGCAGCTGTAGCCCAGGGTGGGAGAGCCCCAGCTCCACTAGCACAAGTGGTGGCACAGCTGGTGGCTCAGCTGGTGGCTCCAGGGCCCAACGATCTCCACAGCAGAGTCCTTTGCCTGTACTGCTCATGGCTCCAATCGGTGCTCCCCAGCAGCAGAGGCGTGAAATGCCTGTTGCAAAAACGCGAGCGGCCAGCGGCTCGCAGAGATCTCTGTACGCCTACTGAGAACGCTCTGTTCCTCTGCTCCGTTAGTTTGCTTTTTGAAGCAATGTTTTTGGAGAAGGGCCATGAGAACAACAGAGGGAGGCACTTCCCTTAATCACAGCATCAGACACTCCGTTAACAGACTGACTTAATCTTCTAAACCAAATTACTTGCTGGAACATTTTGCATTTGCATACTTTTGCTCTCTCTTAGGAACTAACAGTTTCTCTAGAAATTGTGCAGTTTAAGCCTGTTATGGTATTTTACTCCAGCATTTTCTTAGCACCTCAACACAAATTATGTGGTTGATCATCAGTGGTGAACATTGGCTACAGACACCCACAACGGGGGAAGAAAAGGCCCCCATGAGAGCTGAAAGAACAGCAATATCTTCCCGTGACACGGAAAAGCACTTTTCGATGCTTCAAGCAAGACTGCTGACTCAGCATGGGATTTCTCTCCAAGCAGGGTTACTCCAGTTATTCAAATACAGTAAACACAAAGGCAGTGCTGAGGACATCGATCCTGCACCTACCTTACAGCTTTCAGTCTGTTTTCTAAACATTTGTTAATGGAGATGCGGCTCAGTGTCAAGGCTAAGTGGGCAAATGTCATCTATGCTAAAGTCATTATAGGAACTAACATAACCCTTGCTTCTGGTCGTCCTTGGATTTAAGACAACCACATACACTTCATTCTATTCATTTACCTATCCTGCTTTATATCTCAAGTATCTTCATCCTTTCACACTCCCTAATTAACTATCAATTATTTTCCTGAGTGAAATTATAAAAAGTTAAACCCTTCTACCAAAAGTACAAAGACAAATAAAATATAGAACAATACAAACCCAGTATACAGCATTACAAGTGCAGAAATTCTTCATGTTGCTGCTCTTTATCATTGGCCCCGATAAAAAAAACATAGCAAAGAATTTAGTTATCCAAAATACTTTGAAGTACTGTGATTAGATTTTTCAGACCATAAATGTAGCCCTCATCCTTTGCGTTGCTAGGAAACACGTGAGCAAAATCGATCATTCGGACTTCAACGTTTGCACTTTCCTTGGTCTCTGCTGGCATGTGATAGAAAACTTTTTCCAGTTGGGGTAGAACGTTTCCGTTCAGGTGCTCCTGTGCAATGCACGTGCTGCTTTTCCACACGTTGTCTTGCTCCAAGTTTTCAACCTTTAGCGAGAGCTGACTGTGGTGCCTCTTTGAGCATGACTTTTTGTGAAGTGCGTAAAATTTGGACAAGCCTTTACTTACAGAGGCTTCAATTTTTCCATTCTCTGTAGAATTTATTACTTGAATATTATTATTACACTCCAATACATCTCCACCTGACAACAGGCCTTTGGGCATTCCTCTTTTCTCCACCAAGGTGACATCACTCAACCGCACAGTTGTTGCCTGACACGAACCTTCATAGACAAAAAGCAATGAGCTTGCATAAAAGTTGAGTTGTGTCTGGCTCTCAAACCACTCCAAAATCTTTTCAATCTTCTGAATGCTGGCAGCTACCACGTCTTTTCTCAAGCAGTACCCACTGTGGAAAAACTTTGAGATGCCTGCAAGAAATAAGATACATTTTGGGATCATTTTCACCTCCGAAAGGAAAACAAACAATCTTCATAGTTCTTATTTGAAGGAACAGAGAGCACTCAGGTAGTTTCCTTTCAGGCAATCATTAACTAAACCTAAAGTGGACCAAGGAATTCTGATACTGTCAGTCACCTCACCTGCTGTATACTATTACTTACAATCCAAGCCCAAGCAGTAGAACTAAATGTATCAAGCAAACAGTAAAAGAACATGGTTCCTGCTCCCCAAGTAATTTAGTAAGTGCCTGGACAGTTTTGGGCAAATGTTAAATCCATTAAATTTTCCACAGATAAACAGTCTCAAGCAGCTTGTTATCATGAGTGTGTTGGTGTGTGCACCCTTCTGTCCTTTGCTGGGGGACAGATGAACAGGTGTCAACTAATAAGTAGTTTGCATTAGTTATCACCAAACAGCTGTATGGTGGCAGCATTTTTATTTATGGTTAATGCAGAGCAACATGTGGACTGACTTCCACTGAGAAGGTCCCTTGAACTGAAAGATTCACTGGTAGTAGCTTTCTAACATAAAAGACACTTAGATATTCACAGAAGACAACTAGAGATAAAAAAAATATATTATAAAAGCATTTAATACTTTTAAAAGGTTTCTATTTCATTATAGTTTCAAAGCTGCAAAAAAAATTGAATTCTACAACTATCACCTCCTTATTAGTAGTAGAAGAGACGTGAGGAGGAAATTCCTATAGTCTGCAACTACTGTTACAGCCAACTGCACTCTTAATTTCAGATTGACAGGTAGCTCAAATTATACAGGGAACAGCTAAAGACCCACCTGGCATGAGGACAAAAAAGGACTTCTAAAATGGGAACACACAGACTACTTTTTCCATACAGTTCTATAAGTAAGTAAATAAATGAAAAATATCCAAGCGCACTGAATTCTGACATCTGAATTCCCTTACCATCCTTTACTGTTTCCTTGGTCAAGCTCCTTCCATAGTGTTGGTTTTGTGTCTCGTAGCTGTCTGAAGAGACATGGTACACCTGAAAGGGACAAGGAGGAGCTCCATAGGTATTTTGAAACATCGGTATTTCTGCAGAGCAAGAGAGACTCACGGACAGGCCACAAAACCCTGGGCACCGTTTAGCCCTCGCAGTTTTTAAGTTTCTTGCGGTGGCCAGCACTGCCCTCTAGTGCTCTCCAAAACCCTCTCTCCAAGCTACAGCAATGTAACCATCACAGGGAACTGTTCTATATGGCCCCTGCCTTGCAAATCAAAGATGAGACCTGAATCTATCACGCTCCCACACGTGTTACTGTGGATGTTAAATCAGTAAGACATAACAAGCAAAAATTTCAACGCAATTATTTTGAGTTCTTAGAACTATAAAACTATTAGCACAAGAGCGAAACAGAATTACCACCAAGGCCCAGCTTGCAAAACCCATCCAAAATTGTAATTGTCAGCACAAATGAGGTCGCACGGAATAAATGACAGCAGCTGAGCAAAAGCTGGGTTCCAGCCTTGACAGCAGTACATCAACTCTCATCTGAAAGGGAGGCAACTCACACAGGTACAGTTTTGTCCATATTGTACAAGCTTAAGAACTTAATTCAAAAATGTTTTATATGTAGACACATTTTCTCTCTAACTGAAATAATTTCCATAGCAGAAACATGCCAGGCAGATAGGCCCAAGTATAATTTGTTTATGAGAGTGTAGACAATTCTTATTTGCCAAAATAATGGTGTTACCAAGCAGGCAGTTTTCTCTGGCAGGAACTTCATGCTTGGCACTTGTTCAGACCACCCAACTCCATGGCACCCATCCCATGGCACCCACCCATCCCACACCATTCCCTTCACCCCCCATAAAGAGAGGATCCCATGGAAAGCAAGTCAGGGCACACTGGTGAAGTGCCTGCTCCTGATCCCTCCTTTGGGGGCTTGTCCTTGCTGTAGCCAACAAGTGAAGTCCAGGACAGTGAAACAGCAGCACACAGAAAGGAGTGGTACAGGAGCAATAAAGAAAGAAAACAGAATTCCCTGTTTTCATTGCAGCCCTTCACCTCAAAACCTCTCTCCCCGTCCCAACCACAACAAATCCATTAATACACAGGTCCCCACCTCCTGCTTTGCAAAGTAGCTGGGAAGAACTCTCAATAGCTCAAACAGCTCTTATTTTGACAAAAGGACAGAAGTAATTAAATTCAAAGTCCCCAGAGAACTTAAATCATAGTTTGTGGAAACTGATTTAAGTCACCAACCATGAAGCAAAGGGTCAGTAAATAATTCTGGTTATTCTAAAGAAATAAGAGCTGTAAGTCTGAATGTTTAAACTCACTCGGTAGCAGAGACACTTCCCACTGCTATGATCCCTATTTTCAGTGTTATGATATTTGGAGAAACTGAGGCCTCGATGCGTATGAACTGCAGAAAGCCATGAGATGCAGAAAGCAGTGGTGAATTATTCTAAAACTGCATTTGACCAATGTGATTTTGGGTTCACAAAATCATTAATTTTTCTCCACTTAGGTTTTTCTGGTTTTTTTTCCAAAGCACATGAAAGAAGTACAGCATACTACACAGGAACTCAAAGATTACTTATGTTAACACTTCAGATACCAAAGTAACTTTCAGAAACATATGAGAAGTTTCAAAAACCTTTTAAAGAGCTACAAGTCAAAGGCAGTTAAATAAAAACTGAAGAAAAAAAAATATTGCTTAGAAAGAGAATAAAGAGTCTGATGACAACATCTAAGTTCTCACTAGCTGTTTCTTGAGATTAAAATGAGTAAAATGAGATTAAACATTTTCATGTAGTCAGCCCAGAGGCAGCTTCCCACAGACATCAGCACTGCAGCAGTTCCTGACCAAATCATCTTGTTTACCAGGACCAGAACTTTATCTCTTCCCGTAGGAGCTACAGTTTTTGCGACATGGGCACTAGCTCAAAAATGCTGATTAAGATCTGCACACTCATTTTGTTTTCCAGAGGAATGCTGAAGCAGTACCTCAGCCCCTGGGCTTCTGAGCTGGGTTTCCCAAGAAGTCACCCCACCTCTCCTCAAAATGTGCACAAAACCAATCCCCCAAATGTCTTTCTATATAGTTTACAAACACCCAGGCAGATGTGCATGTTTGGCACTAACAGTGCATTTTTAACTATACAAAACAGTCGGTGATAAAGTACCATGTCCCACACCCACACCACAAATATTTATTTATGTATGTATTTAACTGCCTTATGCACTCAGAACACTCTCAGTCACCAGCAGGCTTGGCTGCAGACAGTGGCCTTAAAGGACAACAGATCTGGGGAATCACAAAAGTGCTCTCCATGTTAGCTACAGAGCTGTCTCTTAACACCACCTCGAGCCTTTGCTCAACTGCAGGGAAGAGTCTGGAAGAAACATTTCTGGAAAACCTCACTCAAATACACATACATTAAGCCCCATTCTGAAAGCAAGGGAACAGAAACCCAAGCTCAAACAGAAATAATCTCTCATCAGTTCTTGCTCCACCCTCACCTACCCCTCAAACACAAGGAGCAGCAGACTAACATCAACTTCCTATTAGACAGACCTCTTGCTTCACTGTGCTTTTGTTCACGCTGTCACCACTGCTAATCTGCTACCAACCCTTCCCAAAATGATATTTGTCTTTGAACCAAGCCTTTTCTGTATCCCTGTTGTTGCCGCTGTCTGTACCAGCCCATTTCTGTCAGAACGATGATAAGTCAGATCCTTACCAACAGCTAAGAAATTATTAGACAGGAAAATCTCATTTCTTATCCATATGCCACAGCTTGTTATGTGTTTGCTCTCTATTCACAGGGAGGTTCATTGCAGAGTGCAAGACAAAGAAAACTCTATGAGCTGCAAAACACTGCCTCCTGCTTCATAAGTCATTTTTATATATTCTTAGTATGCAAGATCAGAGCTGTTCTGGCTGACAATGTGAAGGCTCCTCCTTGTGCCTACAAGCAGCTCCCACTGCACAAACAGCTCTGGAATCCAGTATGTTAACAGGTTCAGGATTTCAACTGGCAGTAGCAGTGACTCTGTATGGGCAGCACATCAAAAAAACCAGACCATTAACTGTTGAGGGAAATTATCTTTGGATGTTCTTAACCTGCACTTGGCTTTTGTTTCCCTACGAGGTGTTGGGTCATTGCTGCTTGCATGCCCACACAGCTTATTATACCCTTTTTTCAGTTACAAGTAGTTCATCTGATGTTCCTGGACTGATGAAAACCTTGAGTTAAAATAAAAAGTTGGTCCAGTGAGGTCTTTAAAAAAAGCACAACCCTTGCGAGGTCTCAGCAGAGATACACAGTTTGGAAACCTTGTGACTTCAGCTTTAGGATATTAAACTGGGGAAAATAGGTATCAAATGTCATGTAATGTTAATTATGATAATTCAGTACCAACTTCCATGGTGAGGCAGAAAAATATACACACTGTTCAAACACTTAACTGTGGCAACTCCCTGACTTTCAGAAAGTACAATTTAAATACACATTAAGAGTATAATTTCCTGTTTGGGGGAGATACTGCTAGCACAAATAAAAAATCTCTATTCAGTAACTTGCAGAGCTGTTTCACATCTGCAAAAAATATCTACTAATCCACATTACTGAAAGTCAGGAAAATAACCCCAACCTATTTTGAGCAGGCTTGTACAGCACTACAGAGGGCACCTGCAGGAGTGAAGGCCAACTCAATGGCACACATGACATGGACCTGTGCACTGCTGACATTCCCATGCACCAGTTGGTGCCCGGGAAGCAGCTTCCTGCAGAGCTCCTGACGTCCATCCCTGCCCCCTTGCTTCCACCCCAACAGCAGCCTGGCATCTGCTGTCCTAAGCAAGGACACGGAGATTAGAGATCCGTGCCCTGATGCCATGGCATCCAGCCTTCACTGGGCACCCACAGAGCTGCCCACCCCTCAGATTTTTTCCGTAAATACACCTAATAGTCACCCCTATGTTACACACATGCAGGTAGGAGGGAGCGAACGTTCAGACATTACACGGAGGTTTCTGTTTACAGCAAAGCACCTCCACGCTCCTGACTGGCATCTGAATGTCAGTCCCTAGCCTGCTGCCAAAACTGGAGCCAAGCTGAAAGCAAGGGGTAAGCAGGGCTTACCCAGGCACATCTGCAGGGGGCACCTCCAGCGCCAGGCCCAGACCCACATACACACCTGGCCACCTTCTGCCTGTACCTCGTGACTGTCCAGATATAAATACACAGGTCTCCTTCACGCCTGAGCGACCCCAGTTTCTCTGCAGGCCCATAAACCTGCCACAGGGCAAGATCTGAACAGAGCTTCAACAAGCCTTATTTTTAATTTCCGAAAACGAAGTAAAGCAAGGATTTAAAGAAAAAATAACAAAAGGAACATTTTAAAAAAAAAATACATTCTCTTATTTGATATCTCTGCTTTACAGTAATGTTGTCAACTATCACTGCTGCTGAGAGCATGCCCAGTTATCCAAAACTATTTATTTAAACAACACCTCCCATAATTTTGACTTTTGTTTTTTTAAACTTACGTTGTCGTTGCTAGATCACACATGATGAAAGTACACACATCCCATCCCTGATTGCTGCTGCCTTGAAAATTCAGCACAGGAAGGATGCACCCCTGCTCCCCTGTTTCCAAGACTATGCTTAGACAATAATCTGCCCATTCTGACATATCTTTCACCATTTCAATGGCAATCAGTACCAAGAGGAAAAAAATATACCCTTATAAAAAATACAAGATACCAAGTCCTTGTGTTAAACCACATAACAAAAGCAGAGTGCTTCAAAGACTAAATGTACCCCCAAATGCTCTGACAGTCAATATAACATTTTAGTGAAGTCCTTACATAAATAAGTTGCAGAATGAAATTATGTTGAAATTTATTCAGTGAAAAAGCACACTAATAATCTCCTAAATAAAAGAAACAACGATGCTGCAGTTAAATCATGAACCATCTTATAAATAGCTTAATACAGAATTTTGGACTCCCAGAACTTCCATGAAGCATCTCATTAGAATACACTACTTTCATGCCTCCTTTTTATATAATAAAAAAATATCTGCTCTGGGGTTTGGAGGAGTTTTTTTCAGAGCTTTTGGTTAGTTTCTTTCAATTGCTATGGGGTTTTTGTGGTTTGTTGGTTGGGGGGTGGTTTTGTTTGTTTGGCTTTTAGTTTTTGTTTTGCTTTGTCTTCCTGTTTTCTTAAACATCAAAGCTTGAATTAGACTTAAAAATGTAAAAAACCTAGTTCTGGTAATTTTTTACTGTGGAAGAATCTGAACACTAGATTTGGTATTTAGTATCTTTGTTACTCCTCCCTTCCTAAATCTTGCTATTCACAGATCAGAGCTTATGCAACTTACCACAATACTAGAAAGAGTTCATGAAGAACTCATGAAGCAGACTCAGCTATTGTCAGTTTGAAAACACCCTGCAGAAACATGTGCTGTAGATTAGGAAATTCACTTCTAAAACCAGCTTTGATTATTAAACTTTACTGCCTGCATGTTCATAGGTACAAACAATAGGGGTCAACGATGGGTCATACTGCTTCGGAAATATTATGGAATAGATTGCAACCAGCATTTTCTGGAAAAAAGAAAACCTGCAGAAACTGGGAACTGTGGATTCCAAATGGACTGAGAATCTGAAATGAGAGCACAGCCCACACATTCTGCTTCTGCTCAACAGCATGCAGAATGCTCTGTATTTAACACTGCCCGTGCTGTGAAGAGATTTCTTATCTATATGGGTGTCTACTACTGAAACCATATTGCAATTTTTGGTTTTGCTATTGCAACAGAACCTGAGTTTTCCAACTTATATTTAAACTCTCACTACTGCAATAACAAAACATGTCCAATCTCACAGAATCTCAGAATGGTCTGGTTTTGAAGGGACCTTAAAGACAATCCAGTTCCAATCCCCTGCCATGGGCAGGGACACCTTCCACTAGACCAGGCTGCCCTGTCCAACCTGGCCTTGGACATTTTCAGGGATGGGGCATCTGTTAAAGAAAGGAACCTCTCCACTAAACATGGGATTGTGGTTTTAGCCAGTATTATTTCAGTAACTTTATTTTCTAAATGCATTTCCATGCATTTGTTCTGTCTATGCAGTGTGTAAGATAAATACAGGTTAGCATGTCAAATGCCAGAACTGTGTACTATGTACTATGCTGTGCCAGACAGGAGACTCACTTTTTAAGGGCAAACCATACATATCTGATATATGAACAGATGATTGCTTATTTACCAGTGCATCAGAAAAAGCTGTATCAATAGCTTTTGAGATAAAAATACACTCTAAAAAGTAAGTTTTGGGGTAAAACCCCCACCTGTAACACTTTTCGTTGTTTTTATCTCTTTATGACAACTTATAGCACAGCTGCTTTAGAAAAAACATAGCTACATTCTGTTTCTCTAAGTCCTCTCTTTCTCGCCCTTCTAAAATAGAAACTTATGAGGCAAGCCCCTTCCATGTTAAAAATAACACTGAATGGACTAATTCCTGAATCATGTTACACCATGTTTCGTCCAGCAAACATGAGCAAACTTCATCCACCATGTGAGCTGTTCTGGGCAGTACATATCCATTCAGGAAAATGTTTTATACTATGGCCAGAATCTTGCAAAAATAAAGCAAGCAGACAGGCCATAATCAAGAGGCAGAGAAACTGCCTTGTGAATTCAGACTTTGCCAAGTGTTGCATGAGGGGAGGAGGAACCTTTTCAATTCTCTTTGGAAAACAACTTCCAACATGCAATTTGGTGCCAGAGGCACAAAACCAAATCTCATCTAGTTAAACACTGGATGGAAAACTGCACTGCTTGGGGGAATCATCAGTATACATCCAATCTGAATTAGGGCACTGAAAAAATTTCTGCAACAGGACAAAGGTAAAAACAACTGACATGTTAGAAACAATAGTCACAAGCATACCACGGAAGCAATCAATCATCTCTTTTGCACTGTCACAAAACAAAGGACATGAAGTACATTGTTTTACACATGAGATAAGAAAGGTTATGTAATGACACAAATCAAATCCAAAGCTATAATCTCTAACCTTCCTTTTCCATCCTAACTGTTTGGCTGTTTTTCGAGTCAACTCCCACGTTCTTGCTCACAGGCTTACATAATTACTACACATGACCACTATAATTTATAGCTGTAGCAGCTTATCTCAAGGCAGAGTTAAGGCTGGGAGCTTAGGCAATTCCACACAAAACATTACAGAGATATTAGAATTAGCTCAAACAATGGTGCAATCTGGGTGCTATTGAACAGCAAGGAGGAAGCTTATCAAAGTCTTCAGCCATTTATGCATCCTGATGCAGAGCTTTAGGACCCCTGGCTTTGTGTATGCGAGAAGGAAGACAAAAATCTCACATCAAAAAGAAAATTACTTCTGCACCAATCACAGTAGAAAAAAATACTTTTGGATTGCATCAGGAACTCAGTACTGACATCAACACATTGTTACTAAGCCACAAATGTTCTGTACAGCTTTTCTCTACAATGAAGTTATAAAGTAGCCAATACACAAACACTGAATCTTAGTATTTCTAAGAGTAATTAAGAATTAGTGCAGACATCTGCAGGGCCTCATCCATGCCCAGCTAACCTTCCCTCACAGCTGTTCCTTGAGTGTGTAAGCATCAAAAGAGGTTTCCTCCTGATGGAAAGCTTTTTAAAATGTAGAACATAAGCAGCTGTTTATAGCTACATGCATCACCTCTGAGAGCTTACTTACTCTTCCCTAAATAGAAAAAATATGTAAAAAATATATTTACGAAAGAACATCAAGATGAAAA